TGTACATGGAATTGCTCCCCCTGGCCCCAGTGGTCCTATGTAAGTCCAGCGAACCCACGCGAGCGATGAATTTTCTATCGCCCAAAGGCCGCTAGAGCCGTGGATTGGCTGACAGCAATTGCACGGGCGACTTTCTGGAGGGGGTTTTCCCTCTAGTACCTGAATTCTACGCTGAGCACCACCGTTCACCTTCCGGGCGCGCAAGTTTATGTTTCGAATGTTTTTATAGTACCCCGTGGGCGCTTAAAATATAAATTTATTTATTTATTTTGCCCGATGGCAATAAATCTCCCCTCAGTTGCCGGACAGTATCCACCACATCGTAATACTCCTGCGAGTTATGAAGTTTTAATGCGTAGCTAATCTATCCAATTAACGCCCTGTTACACCTGCTACGGCCGAATCATCGTCCTTCAGCTTTTGGTCCGTATATGAGCTAATAGATAGGCCTCATGTATCCTTCTCCCCCTCACTGGAATCCCTGTTGCTCAGGTGCGAAGGGCTATTTACGCTACGTGCGTACGAGTGCACTGGCCAACGCTCTATCATCCCACAGTGGGATAAAAAATTTAGGTCGAGGTGGTGAAGAAGCAAGAGCGAGTCGATGACAAGTTTCTCCCACTTCTCAAGCTCGAATCGACGTCAGTTTCCGCCCGAATGGCAGCTTCCTTATTTCCTTGATAACTGATCCCCTTCCTCCATTGATTTTTTAACCGATCTCCCATGTTGGTCATTTTAGTACTATTAAAAGTAATGTTAGAAGATTTGCTATGAAAGTTTACAGTTGGAAAGAAATAAAAGTGATCTCTGTACGCAATGGACAGATTGAAAATCAACGTGGTGAAAAATAATGTGCAGTTGCATTCACTGTGTAATAGTTAACCCTCACACCATTGCGTAGATGGACCTGGAGCTCAGATATTGCTGTTCCGTAAAAGGTAGCAATATGTCCACGCAAATATTATTTAATTATATTGTAGTAATTCTGCAAATATTCCCATTTTACAATTGAAAAGACATCTTGGCAAACATGTTTTCAGCGATTCGTCAGCAGGCCAATCCCTGCAACTGTATTGGTTTGATGACGAATTGCTGAATACACGTGTTTGCCAAGATGACTTTTTAATGATATTAATATAAATCGTTTCGATACGAGTAATAGTAATCAGAGGGCCAGTTTGCGAGCGTACGTAAGATTTCGATGAATTTTCGTCTGGCTAGTGCACTTGTATGGGAACGGAATACAAGATAAACATGCTCGTCTTTCCGTACAAGTGAATTGTGGGAATAGGGTGGGTTGGGATCGATAAACGAAGGCTGGTTAGGTGCTTGGCATGGCCGATGGTAGCTTAACTTCATGCATTTTTACGCACTTTCTCTCTCCCCCACCCCCGGTACCGGCTCCACCAAAACCTCCCCGTCGCGTAACCAGCTTTCGCTTATCGACCCCAACTCCCTCC